AGTGAAAAAAAAAAGGGGGGGTGGGAACAATTTCTTCAGGGGGGGGGGGGGGGAGGGAAACTGAGGCACGGGGGGTCCCCAGCCCCATCACCAGAGCCAGGCGTGTCCCTGTCCCCCTGCACATGTCCCCTGTCCCTGTCCCCAGCTCTGTCCCTATTCCCTGACCCCCGTCCCTGGTCCCTCCAGCCCCATCCCCGCTCCATTCGCAGCCCCTATTCCCATCTCCAGACCTCTAACCCCATTCCTGGTACCTGAAGCTCCAGCCCAGGTCCGTCTCCATCTCTTGTCCCCTCCTGTCCCCATCCCTGATCCCATCCTCATCCAGCCCTGGTCCAGTTTTGTCCCCATCTCTGCTCCATTCCCATCCTTTGTCTCTCACAGCCCCATCCCAGTCCCTCATCCCCATCCCTGCACCATCCTGGCTCCTTCTGGGGTGATGAGCACCTCTGGGTGCCCGGCTGTGCCCTCCTCCTTTGTCCTTTTGTCCCCTTTCCCCTCTCCATCCGTCTATTCCTTCTTTCCATCCCTCCCTTCCAGCACTTTTCCTATTCATCCACTTCCCCTTCCCAGCCCCTTCCTCCTCCTTTTCCTGCTATCCATCCCTTTCTCCCCCTCTCCCTCCTTTCCCTTTTCCTCCCCTTATTTCCTCTCTCTTCTCCTTTCCTTTTCCCCACACTGGTCCCTGTCCCCCATCTCCCCTCCTTCCTCCAGCTCTCAGCCTCATCTTCCTTCACAATTTTTTCTTTCTCCCCTTCTTTCATTTTTCTTCCATTTCCTTATATGTTTTTTCTTTTCTCTTCTCTCCCCTTTTTAATTTCCTTTTAAACTTTTCTATTCCTTTTCCCCTTCCCCTTTATTTCCCTTTCTCCCTCATCTCTTTTCTCTCTTTTTCTAACTTCTTTCCTTCTTCCAATTCCTTGTTATTTTTCCTCTTTCCCTTCTTTCTCTCCCTTTCTCTTCTCTCCCCCTTTTCTCTTTCTTTTCCCCCTCTCATCTTTTCCTTCCTCTTTTCCTTTTCCTCTTCCCCTTCCTCTGCCCCCCTTCCCGCGGTCCCCCGGCCCCCCCGGCTGGGGGCGGTTCGGGGCCGGGCTCCCGCTCCCGCTCCCGGTCCCGGCCCGGCCCAGCCCCGCCGCAGCGGCACAGCGGGGCGGGCGGTGGCCGCGGTGCTCCGTCCCTCCCTCTCCCTCCCTCTCCCCCCCTGTCCCTCCGTCCCTCCCTCCGCACCGAGCCCCGGCATCCCGGGACACCGGCATCCCGGCCAGCGGCACACCGCGACAGCGCGACACCGCGACACCGCGACAGCGGCATCCCCGCGGGCAGGACCCTCCCCTGGCGTCCCCGGAGCGTGGTGAGGACCCCCGGCACCGGGACCCTTCGGAACGGGGACCCCGGGACAGAGGAACGTGGGGTGGAGGATCCCCACTCTGGACCTTTCGGGATGGGGGATCCCTGCCCTGGGGACCGGGACCCTTTGGGATGAGGACCCCGGGATAGACGAACATGGGGTGAGGGATCCCCCTCTAGGGACAGGGACACTTTGGGATGGGGGATCCCTGCTCTGGGGACAGCGACCCCGGGATTTGGGACCCACGGGCTGAAGGACTCACTCCAGGATGGGGGAGACCCCCGGGATACAGGCCCCCCCCAAGGACAGGGACCTGTGTGGGCCCTGAGCATCCCTCTGTGGTCCCTGTGCTGGGGGACACGGGTGTCCCCTGCCCCAGCAGGGACTGCACCCTGCCATCCCCAGAGGGGGAGCGGGGGGGGGGGCGGTGCCACTGTCACCCCAAACTGTCCCTGTGGCTGGGGACAGCAGGAGGAGCCAGGCCCGGGTGTCCTCTGGTTCAGGGGACAGGGTGGCACTGCCAGGGTGGGGGAAACTGAGGCAAGGGCTGTGGGCACATTTGGGGCCAGGGACTGGGGACCAGGGATGGGGTTTGGAGACTGGGACTGGGGACAAGGACTGGGTTTTGGGACCAAGAAACTGCGGACTTAGGGGACCAGGGACTGGGGGACAAGGGGACAGGGAATGGGCAACTGAGGACCAGGAACTGGACACTGGTGGTCAGTGACAAGCGACTGGGAATTCAGGACCAAGAATTTGGGACCAGGGACCCCCAGGGCAGGGGCTGGACCCCTCCCACGCCGGGAGGGGATATGGGAGGGGTCAAGATCCCTGACCCAGCAGGAGCCGCGAAGGGACTGTCACCCACGCCAGCGGCCACTCGTGCAGCGAGCTCACACCGTCCTCAGCCCACAGCTCCCGGGGCTCCTTCCCTGCTCCTTAATTTCCCGGCGCAAGCGGAGCTGATTTATGGGAGTTTGACACTATTTTAAGCGTGCGCCTCCGTTTGCCGCTCGCCCTGGTTTTAATTACCTCGGCTCTCGCGGCAGGGCAGCGTTCCCGGGGCACAGGCCTGGCCCTTGTTATCCTTGGAAAACCGGGAGCGCGCTTGCGGCCACGGCCGGGGCCGGCGTAAAAATAGGCGCAAAAACCACGGAAAAAAAATGAAAGGGGGGTGAGGGGGGGACACCCTAAAAAAAACCCCCAAACAAACAAAAAAGCCAAAGTGGAAATGCCCCAAAGTGGGTGAAGAGTTGAATTTTTAAGAAAATTAAAATAAAGGGAACGCCGGGGGTGATGGGGGCGAGGGACTGCTCGCGACACCCCAGCCCAGCCCGTGCAGCTGAAAGCCATGACGGGTATAAAAGCAGAGGAAGTCACCCGGGGAGGGGGGAGGCCACAGCATAATTCGATTAAAAGACCATAAAGGCAGAAGGAGCCGAGACTGGGGCTGGGGGGAGGCCCTGCCACCAGCACAACCCCACAGCAGCCCCCGGAGAAGCCCCTTTGGGGGGGATGCTGGGCTGGGGGGTGATGTGATGGCCGCAGCTCTGCGTGAGGAAACTGAGGCAGAGGGGATGGGGAGCGCTGGGGTGGTGGGTGGCACCGGGGGACTGGCGGGTGCTGCTGGGTGCGCCTGCACTGGGTGTCCAGCGGGGCTGACACCCCAATACAGCTGCCCCAGTGCTGACCCCCAGGCCGGGTCACCCCCTGGCACACGGTGCCCCCCCTCGGGACCCTCAAGCCCCGTCGCCCTTTTCCACAGGCTGCCGAGTGCCATGGCCACGAGCTCCCGCTGACATCGCCCCCACGCCTCGGGGTGCCCCCACCGCAGCCATGGGTGACTCCTACGCCGCCGCCTTCCCCAGCGCCCCGGGGCTGCTGTCACCGTCCGCCAGCCCCCAGGCCTCCCCCGGCCCCTACGGCCCCGACTACGGCCCCTTCGGCCACCCCTTCCCAGCTCCCTCCGGCGCCCAGGAGGTGCTAGGGGCCCCCGTGGTGGTGGCGGCCAAGGGCCACTCCCCGGGCGAGTGCCTGCCGGGGGTGTACCCCTCGCTGGAGATGCCGCACCCCTACGGCTCCTGGTACAAGGGTGGCATCGGTGGGGGGCTGCCGGGGGGCTCCGGGCCCGCGGCCCCGTCCTGGTGGGATGTGCACCCCAACGGGGGCTGGCTCGGGGGCCCGGCGGGCGCCGAGGGGCTGCAGGGCTCGCTGCAGGGCCAGCCCACCCTCAGCCCCCCTCTGCCCAGCTACAGCTCCGATTTCGGCGCTCTGAACCCCCCTCCTTACAGCAACGCCCCCGCGGCGCCCCCCGCCCCTAAACCCACGCCGGGCGAGACCCCGAAGGGTCCCCGCGGCGGCTCCTTGGGGGGACGCCCGGCGTGCGATTGTCCCAACTGCCAGGAGCTGGAGCGGCTCGGCGGCCCGGGGGGGTCGCGGCGGAAGCCGGTGCACAGCTGCCACATCCCGGGCTGCGGAAAGGTGTACGGCAAAGCCTCGCACCTGAAGGCGCACCTGCGCTGGCACACGGGGGAGAGACCCTTCGTGTGCAACTGGCTCTTCTGCGGGAAACGCTTCACCCGCTCCGACGAGCTGGAGCGCCACGTCCGGACCCACACGCGCGAGAAGAAGTTCACCTGCCTGCTGTGCAGCAAGCGCTTCACCCGCAGCGACCACCTCAGCAAGCACCAGAAGACCCACGCCGACCCCGGCCCCCCCAAGCCGCCCCCCGGCGCCGAGCAGCCCCCCGCGTCCCCCCGGCCGCCGCCCGCCTCGCCCGGCAAGGACGGCGGCAGTCCCGAAGCCGGGAGTTTGTTGGAGATTTGAGCCTTTTAGCCTTTGTCTTCCTCCTCCTCCTCCTCCTCCTCCTCCGCGCCGCTGGGGATATTTATTACGGGATGCTTCTCCCCCAGGCTCCCCCCCTCAATTCTCCAGCTCCTCATTAGCTATTCTAATTTATGTCTTAAATTATGGGGGAGGCTCTCCGAGCGCTCTGGGGCTCACAGGGGGGTGTCAAGGTGAGAACCCCCCTTTCTGTTTTCCCTTCAACCGCCCCCAAACATTCTTGTCTCCCAACCTTCGCCTCGCCCCCCGCACTCAGGGACAGGGTTTGGCCCCCTCCCCCGGCCTGGTTCATCAGTGCTAATATAACGTGTTCCCCCCTCTTTTTTTAGCTGCCTGCCCCTCCTGCCCCCCTGGAAAAAAGCAATAAAAGGATTGAGAGTGGAGCCGGGCCCCCCTTCTGTGGCTGAGGCCGAGTGGCTTCATCACAGGGATGGCCTCAGCTTCCCCCTCCCTGCAGGGCTCCAAGGGAAACTGAGGCACGGGGGGGACACAGCCCTGCTCAGGGTCACTGTGTCCCTCCTCTCTGGGGGTGGCAGGAGCTGAGTGGGACTGGGGACAAGCTGGGCTGTCCCCTTGTGCTCAAGGGTGCCATATGGCTGCAGTCTCCTGTGCTGCTCCCCTTTCCCAGCACCCCGTGTCCCCAGGAGCCTGTAGGGCTGTGTCCTGTGGTCCCCACGGTCCCACATCTCCCTGTCCCCATGGCCCTGTGTCCCCAAGACCCCGTCCCCCATGTCCCCCTGGTCCCATTGCTCTCTGTCTCCAACCTCAGGCACAGCCAAAGCCGGACGGATTTGTGGGTCTGACAAGACTTGTCCCCTGCCAGCCTCACACACGCGTGTCCCCCACAGCCGTGTGCATGGGAACATGCGTGTGCACAGCCCCGTGCCTCAGTTTCCCCCAGCCACATCCCAGGGCTCACGTGGCAACACTGGGCACGCGGCGGGGCCACGTGTCCCCAAGGACACCCCAATTTTGGGCGCTGTGGGCTGGCGGGGACCCTGCTGCACTTCCCCCGAGCTCCCCCTCCCCATGCCCTGGGCTCCTGCCAGCCCTTTGATGCGTTCAGCCCTGGTTTGGGGCTTTTCCTGAAAAAAAAACCCAAAAAGCCACGGAAAAAGGCAAAAGGAGGCGGAAACAAACTCCTGTGCCAGCACGAAGTGTGGGGGCAGCTGCTGGCACCCGTGGCCCGGGGGGGACAGGGATGGCAGCAGGTCCCCGTGCCAGCCCCGGGTGAGTCACGGTGGCCACGAGCTGGCCGGGACCCAGATGTCCCCAGGGAAAGGGGGAACACGAGCTGGGGAAACCGAGGCACAGAGGCATCAATGGAGCGCCCGCAACTCAATGCCAGCACTCAGAGCGCGACAGAGCTGTCCCCAGGGTGGCTCCCGGGGGATTTAGAGTGGCAGTGCCACCTCTCCATATAGCCCCCCCCAAGCCAGCCACACCCTCCCCGACACAAATTTGCCCATTTCGGGAGTTTCCCCCCCAAAACGCCAGCCCTGCTGCCGCTCGCCGTGGGTGGGCCAGTGCCAAGCAGGGCAACGAGCCACGTCCCCGAGCCAAACCCCGGCCCGGCGGCCACCGAGGGCTCGACCGCCCGGAGCCTCCCAAACCACAGAGCCCAACCCCATTCAGCGACCCCCCCAAACCCCACCGGGGACCCCCCCCTGCGCCACCACCGGCTTTTTTCCTGTCTCGCTGCCCCACCAGGGCCGGGTTGGGGGGGTCCGAGGGACGCCACGAGGCCACGCCAGCCCTGCGGTGGCTCTGATGTCGGCGCCATCCCAAATCGTCGTCTCCTATCGAACCCCGCTCGCTCCGTAACGGGCGAGGAATGTGGGGCCCCCCGCCGCAGCTCCCCCCGCCGCCTTTATTTAATATCCTGAGAAAATTAAAATAACTCTTGCGGCCGCTAAGGAAAACACGGAGATAAACACAAGAAAAGCGGGAGCCCCGGCAGAGGGGCTGGGAGCGAGCCAAGGGGGGGCACACGGCGGGAGCGGCACCCAGGGGACACGGGGAGAACGGACACGCGCACCCGCGACAGGGAACAGCGGGGGACATGCGAGCGCAGGACATCGGGATGCCCAGGAGGGGCTGCGGGACCCGGGGTGCCCGCAGGACCCGGGGGTGTCCCGGGGGTGTCCCGGGGGTGTCCCGGGGGTCCCCATCCCGGTCCCAGCGCAGCCCAGCTCGGACACCACCCCCTTCACCCCGCCCCTCACCCCGCCCCTCGCCCCGCCTTCCAAGGGGCTCCGCCTTTCCTAAAGGGGCAACGACAGGAAAAATGTGGACCTCATTTTAATCGGTCCCCGTTACAACGAGAGAGCCGCTAAGTTACCGGTGGAGCGCGTCTGTGCAGGGGACGCTGATATTCTCTCTTCTCCGCGGAAGAGAATCCTGGAGGGTGGTGTTCTCTCCCAGTGAGGACCCCGTGTATTTCCCACGCGAGCCGCGGCCCTTTTAATTCTCCTCCCTCACGCGTGAGGGCGGCTCGCGGCGGCGATTGGCGCGAACCGGGAAGGGGTGAGGGGAGCCAAGATGGCGGCGCTAGGGGCAGAGGGCGGGGAGCGGGCGAGGGGAAGCCAGGAGGAAACCGGGTGGCACCGGGGAATCTGAGCGGGTGAGAGGCGGAGGGACCAGCAGGGGGTTTGCCGGTCTGGAGCCGGCGCATCCGCAGGGCACCGGAGGTTTCAGCTGTCGCCTCCCACCCCGGGCTCGCCCGCAGGTTCGGCGCTGCCATGTGCTCTCTGGGGCTGTTCCCGCCGCCGCCTTCCCCTGGGGATGTCACCCTGTACGAGCTCAACAACGCCCTGGTCTGCGGCCGCCTCAGCGAGCAGCTCCCGCTGGCCTTCCAGAGCCAGGTGAGACCCCCAAGTCAGGAGAGCCCCCTTGCTCCCAGGGCCGTGCCAGCCCCTCCAGCCTTGGCGGTGCCACATTTGTCACCCTCAGCTGTGGCTAGAGCTTCGTCCCCTCTGCCGGGCTCTCTCCTCCTCCAGGCACCCTCAGGCTGTTCCCTCGCCCCTCCTTGTGCCCCTTCTTTCCTCCCACCGCCGTTTGCCCCCTGCCCTGGGGGTCTCTTTTCCCCCCGGGCTCAGGGGGGCTGTGGGTGCTGCAGGTGCCCGACCTGCCCGTGCTGAGCTTGCCCAAGGAGCCCCTCAAGGCTCACGGCCGCCTGGAGCCCAGCGCCCGCCAGCCCTTCATCCACCACCGTGAGTCCCTGTGGAAGCGCTGCCTCAGCGCCTGGTGAGTCCCCGCTGTCCCCGAACAGCCAAATCTGCCTCCAGCACGGGCAGGGGGACCGGGTGGTGACCGCGCTCTCGCTGCAGGCGCGACGCCGGGCTCTGCGGGCTGCTCAGGGAGCTCGCCAGCGCCGAGGAGGAGGGTGAGTTTGGGCTGTGGAGATCTCCTGGGTCTCGCTGTCATGCTTTGGCTGTGCCCTGCTGGCCCCTGTGGGGCTGGCAGGGGCGCTGAGGGTCCTTTGCCTGGCAGGGCTGCGGTGGCTGCGCCAGGGCTCGAGCCACGCGCTGGCCGTGTGCCGCTGGCTGGCCTCGCTGCACGGATCCCTGTTCCCGCACCTCTCTGTGAGTCATTCCGGCCTGGTCCCTGCTGCTGCAGGGGACAGGGGCCAGGGGAGCCGTGATTTGGGGTGGAGGGTGGTCCCTGCCCCACTCAAACCCCCTCAAAATGTTCCTCCTGGTGATGCCCAGCTCCAGACACTGCTCCTTCCTCTGCTGGAGGACAGTGGACCCTGGGAAGGTGTTCGGGCAGCAAAGGGCTCCAAGAGGGGCCCGAATCCAGGTGGGGGAGAGGGAAAAGGGCTGGACACTGGGAGTCCTTGCTGGCAGCTCAGTGTTCTTCTCTCTCTGCAGCTGACCAGTGAGGACATGATCGCAGCCTTCTCCCAGGCTGTGGACTGGTGAGTCCTGGGTGTCCCAAAATCATCGAGCTGGGGTCTGGGGCCCCTCCAGGTGGGTGAGGGGTGGGGGTACAAGGACAGGATTGCTCTGTTTGGGTGGACTCAGCCATTAAAGACAAACATCTCCCCACTGGTTCTGGCTCCCCTGTTTTGTGTGCCCTGGTCGGAGAGAGATCAGGGTTAAAGGAGATCAGAGCCTGGATCCAATTCCAGCTCCAGGTGGTGGTCACCAGCCCCTCAGCAGAGCCCTGTGAATAATTCCAAGAAACAGGCAACTTCTCAAAGAAAACCATCCCATTGAGCAGCAGGAAGGAAGTTTAATTTCTGTGGGGACTCTGAGAAGGGTCCTTGCTAGCCCAGGGTGTGCTGGGAGGGTCTCACCCTGCTCTGTGCCCCCTCCAGGGCTGGCTGCACCGTCCGGGCCTTTGTCTGGCACCCCCACACCAATAAATTCGCTGTGGCTCTTCTGGATGATTCCATCCGCGTCTACAACTCCAACAGGTGGGGCTTTGTCCTGGGATTTGGGCAGCCCAGGGTGGGCACTGCCCTGGTCCTGCTGCCCGTGGCCTCTTTGTCCACCTGGGCATGCCTGGGCTCCCGTTCAGCCCTCCCTGCTCCTTCCCCACTCTCCCCCGAGCCTGAAGAGCTTTGCCTTTCCTTTCCCTGCGTAGCTCTTGGGCCATCCTGGGGGGTGATGACAGAGTCAGGGGGACATGGGCGGAGTGTCCTCTGTCCCCAGGTCTCCCTGCTCCCCCAGGGAATGCCAGGCCCTGCTCAGGAGAGGACTCTGCCAGCTGCTCCTGCAGCCCCCCAGGCATTTCTGGCCAGCCTGGGCCCTCTCTGGGCTGGGGACAGCTTGGTTCAGTCACACCAGGTGTGCCCTGGCTCACCTCAGTGTCACCTGGCTGGGAATTCCTGTCCCCTCCGCGGGAAGCACACGGCAGTGCTGTCACCCTGCTGTCCCCCCTCGCTGTGCTCAGGGATGGCAGGGGACACTGGCTGCACCAGGGCTCTCAGCCCACACCTGCCCTGTGTGTCACCTGTCCCCTCCCTGGCAGTGCCA